TAGTTCCAATGCCTCGTATACCTTGTGCTCTTCTCCTTTGACTATGAATCCCAATGGCTGTGTTACATATATTTCCTCCTCCAAATAGCCATTTAAGAAGGCAGATTTTACGTCTAGTTGGTGGAAAGACCAACCCTCCAACCATGTTTATATCGGTTAAAACATTTTACAAACATATTCTAGAGTGATTCAATCGATTGATTCTCATTTTAATCGATTGATTTACTTTAAAACTTTCTTATAAAACTTTTCAAGTTATTTTAATTGATACAAAGAAGTTTTAATCGATTATAAAACTGCACAGAATTTTTCTAAGTTGTTTTAATCGGTTGAAACTGCGTTTTAATCGATTGAAACTCTGTACAAAGTTTTCCCAAGTTATTTTAGTCGATTGAAATGCGTTTTAATCGATTGAAATAGGTCCGATCGGTCATAATTTAATTCGATCGATCATAACCACCTACGATCGGTCATAATTTCATTCGATCGATCATCCTGACTTCCAAAGTGGTTTTAATCGATTAAAAGAAGTTTGTATCGATTAAAATATCTGTAAAAACACTTCTTTAAACATTCTAAGTGATTTTAATCGTTTCTTTTAAAACTATATCAGTTAAAAACATTATTAAGAAAGTTCTTTGTCAAAATGCTTTTGTTTTTGATTTGTTTAAAACTATTTTTGAGGCATAACTGATTTTAAAGAGTATTTTCATAACTGCTGCATTAATTAATCTGTTGAAAGTTTGTTTTAATCTGTTGAAATAGCCGTTTCAATCTGTTAAAAGTCCTTTCAATCCATTGATACGTTCTTGATTCTTTAACAGATTTGTTTTAGCTGATACTACAACGGTTATATCAATTAAAACACTTTACAAAACTTTTCTAAGTTTGATTCAATCGATTGTTTCGTGTTTTAATCGATTGATATTCTGCAAAACTTTCTTATAAAAACTTTCCAAGTTATTTTAGCTGATAAAAAGAAGTTTTAATCGATTAGAACTTTGTACAAACTTTTTCGAAGTTGTATTAATCGGTTGAAACGCGTTTTAATCGATTGAAACTCTGTACAAAATTTTTCCAAGTTATTTTAATCGATTGAAATACGTTATAATCGATTGAAACAGATTTCAATCACTTTGTCGCTCGAGCGAAAGTCCGCGTCGCTCGAGCGAATCAGAACCCGAGAGTCCCCCTTGTTTCCAGGTGTCCTCGCTCAAGCGGTGTGATTTTCGCTTGAGTCACTTTAGATAGCGGTTACTTGGCCAACCGCTATCTAAAGTACTATATTAGATAGCGGTTGGGCAAATAACGGCTATCTAATGGAGTAGTTTAGATAGCGGTTGGCCAAATAACCGCTATCTAAAGTCATATATGTCAAAGTGATCGACTATAATGGGATAATAGTCGATCATACTTTTCGCTCAAGCGAGAAAACCTTCGCTTGAGCGATAATTTACCCTGGACTACCCCTTTGTTACAGGTTTCCTCGCTCAAGCGAAGGTTTTCTTCGCTTGAGCGAGAGTTCAGTCCGCGAAATAATATTATTTTAATACAGTGAACAGTGAACAGTTGCGCGAAATAATATTATTTTATTAAGTGAACAGTAAAGAGTGCTAGTTGTGTAAATAAAGTTGCAGAGGTGCTATTTGGGTAAATATTTTTTAAAACAGTATTATTTATGAAAAAAAGTCTTTCATTGTGGGTTTAATTATTAGATATTTACTACTTTTTCATTTTCAATTATGTATAATTGTTGATATATTTTTTAACTAATCATTTTATTAGATAACAGTGTTGTATAATTTATTTTCTTATATCTAATTTGGGTTTAAATGATTTTGATATTACAATATATTTGTTTTATACTTTCAATTATTATTATGATTGTAGGTATCGATATATGTTATAATTATTGGTGAATCATGTCGTTAATTTGGTCGAGAAGAATCATGATATTTTCTCTTTAACTGATCGATTTCAGAATTTGTCTTTGATTACAACTAATAAGATAGGGGTTTATAGTGTGTTTATTCATTTATTTGAAAAAAGACTGATTTTTTCTGTTCAGAAAAGAGGTATTTTAAATCCTCAAAAAGAGTACCAATTGCATTCAATATTTGAAATACATCCCTGTCTAGATATGGTCGTGAACACTCACATGCCCTAAAGGTCAGGACTATGGGGGGTATCTTTTAACTGTTAGACTTCTCAGTTATACTAGTAATAGGCTTTCGGATATCAATAAATGGCGCTTTTGTCAATTTTATAACTTTTTAAGTAAACGACGATGGAAAAAAGATACCCCCATAGTCCTAACCTTTAGGGCATGTAAGTGTTCGCGACCCTAACACTCACATGCCCTAAAGGTCAGGACTATGGAGGGTATCTGAATCATACTACTTATCATGTGTTTGAGTTAGACTTTTAAAATTTTTTTTTTCATTTTGGTAATAATTTTTAGTAACTTTAATTAATATTATCTTATTTTTCCACTCCTATTTTATATCTTTACAAGTTAAACTATTACTTAAATTTATCATCAATTATTTGTCACAATATTACATTTATCAATATATTTGAACTGTTTGTCATCCATCTGCCGCACCACTATACCACCATGTTCATTGTGATTGTCGTGTTATCATATTTCAATTACAAATTCATGTTTTAATAGCATTATAATATTTATTGTCACATCGTACCATAATATTTTAGTCATATTACAACATTTGTCCCGTTAATGAATTTGTCATATTATTATATCACTTTGTTTCACATTATAGATGTTTAATAGCATTATAATATTTATTGTCACATGACATAATATTTTAGTCATATTACAACATTTGTCCCGTTAATGAATTTGTCATATTATTATATCACTTTGTTTCGGTTACACTATAGTATTTAAGGTGTTTTAGTCATATCATAATTGGTTGTGAATTCGAGTCAACTCACTAACTTACAGTAGATTGAACTAGACTATTAAATTTTTTTGCTCATCATAAATGTATAGAATTGGGGTTTATTTCTTTTCAACTTAACCCGTGTAAGTCGGATTGAGTGACTGTTTTTTTTTCCTATTAGTTTAAGTTTTTATATAGTTTTTTTTTTAAATTAAAGATGCATAATTTGAGTATTCCTATATCGAATAATAAAATATTTATCGAATAATAGAAGTTAAAATAATATCAACTGACATAATAATTTTTTATAATTTTGCAAAGACTGAAAAATAATATTAAATATTAAAATCGTAAACTAAAATTTTATATACGAATAAAAAACTCATCACTTTCATTGAGTTGATAACAAATTTTAAAATATCATTTAAAATAAATTAAAAAAATTGTAATTGTAAAAGTTTCTGGAAAGTACAAAGCCTTGTATCTAATAAAGAAATTGACGACGTTTTTCTTACACCGTGTTCTGACCAAACTAAGGTCACTTTGGAAACAAAAAAATGAAATGAATCGAGGTTTGACTGTGAAGAGGTTGTCATCTTTTGATAATGCAGTTTGGAAAGTTGAGGAAAACATCTGAGCAATGTTCTTCAATGGCTTTATACTGTGAACTAATTTTGACAACTTCCACGTTTATGTGTTGTACTCCTAACTCCACACTTCTGTAACCTTTCCTTTTTATTGTTAAAATAAGTGATATATTTCATTAAACGATTAAAATATAAAATATAAATGAAGGGATATGAAAGTATTTCCACTTTTAACATTAATAAAACATCATCTATAAGATTAATTATTACATTTAAAATGTTGTTTACTTTTAAATTTAAGTTTCGTTTCTTTTATCAAGTTGTAGAAGACATTTTAGTTAATAAAAGAGAATGTGTTATAAGATTAATTATTACATTTAAAATATTGTTTACTTTTAAATTTAAGTTTCGTTTCTTTTATCAAGTTGTAGAAGACATTTTAGTTAATAAAAGAGAATATGTGTTTTGCTAAGATAATATTATTAAAACTAATTAAAAAGAAATTAAAAAAAATTGTCATTGTGTATTAAATTATACGAGACTTTTTAATATACCATAAAATAAGAAAATAAAATAATAAATATTATAGTAAGTCTTTGGGTTTATATCCTTAAAAAGAAATAAATATTATTGGGAATATTGAGTAGTACTACCAAGTTGGTGGGTGTTGAAACAATATTGTCTTCTCTCTTTTTTTTTTCTTTTTTTTTTTAATTAAAAGGGGTTAGATCATAAGATAGGACTTGTAGCCATTGGTTTATTTTTACTTCGCCAAAGTTGTTTATGATTTGGAAAGTTTAAAAAGAAAAAGTCGAATGTCTCAAACCGAATCATATCGGAATCAGGGCAATGATTTACTCTGTATAATCCTCTTAATTAATACTATCACTTTTATTTTATGTGAAAAAATTACAGTATCTATTTAACTCAAAAGAGAATTTGTCACTATTATTAATTGATAGATTTCAAGATTTCTTGGAACATGAGACACAGACATCTTGATAGTATAAAGTTGAATTTTATAAAAGTGAGTTACTATTATGACCACGAGGACACTAGTTAATCTTTACCAAAAAGAGTTTCATGATTTTATTTTAAAATGTATATAATATATCTATTTATTTTGACGATTATTATAGACAAAATTCTTAAATCATGAAAAGGACATTGATGCAAAATAATTCAACCCTATGCCACGCACTTGAAAAAGGTGACGAAGATATTACCAATAAGTAGACGTGACAAATGACAACCATGCACGCGACCAAGTTTTATAAGGTGTTGAATTTTACGCCACAAATTTTCAATTCAGATTAAAATATTTTAATAACTCGCTTAATAAGGATGGTTCTGTAAATATAATTTTAAATGAAGCATATAAAGAACACATAATTAAGAGAAGTCACTGTTATAATATTTTTATTATTTTTCTGTCAGCAAAGATTTTTTTTTTCTTGTTGTCGCTGAAAGAAGCGAGAGAGGCCAGAGAAGCCCAAAAAAGCCCACCATGAAGGCCCGTGAAAGTAGAAGATGTGGGACCATGAATTTAAAACGTCCGTTTTTATTGTTTCCCGTGCCGATGCGCGCTCTGAACGGAAGGGCCACCACAGATAGCCGTTACTATACGTCCTACTGTCTCTGGAACATTGAATTTCAGAGCGTTTTTTCTCTTTCGAAAAGTTAATCTCAAGAGACCCACAGTGTTTCATTCGGAACTCCAAACTACGTCGTTCCATCGTGCACTCCTTCTACACTTGCAGGTACTTCTTCTCTTTCATTTCTCAAAGAATCATTTTCTTTTTGGAGAAACATGCCTTGAATCCGCAGTGTAAAGATCAAGAAAAAGATTTAGTAACATATCTTATGAAGCAGAACTGTCAAATCGCTCTTGTGAAGTAGTGGAATATTATTTATTTTTTTATTCGGATGTGCTCTGATGAAAACAAAAATGATTTGTTACTCGATTCGGCAGTACGAGAAGCTTCATATCATACTAGGTTTTAGCTTAGTCTTCTTTTGTTCTTTGCATTGTAGCTTATTTCGAAATTTGAAATCAGATTTTCATTTTCTACTTCTACGAAGCTTAGATTTCCGTTATATATATATATATATGTGTGTGTGTGTGTGTGTGTTACTGTTATTATGATCCGTTTTCATCCAACACAGCGAGCTGCAAAAAGCCTAAATAATTTCGGAAGAATGCGGCATAGTTATTATTTATAATGTTTTCTTGTCTCGATTGATTTCTCTTGGAAATGAAGTGTTGAAAATTGATCTTGCTGATGGATGATTGATCCGCAGAAATTAACGGCAGAGCACGATAATGGAAACGCCGCCGCCGGCGGCAACGCCGCTGTCAAAGATGCAGAGGAATCTGTCGGGTACACCGGGTGGCCCCAAAGCACGGGAGGAGAAAATCCGAGTCACGGTTCGAATGAGGCCACTCAACAGAAAGGAACAGGCTATGTACGATCTAATTGCATGGGACTGTTTGGATGAGCATACTATTGTGTTCAAGAATCCAAACCAAGAGAGGCCTGCAATACCTTACACCTTTGGTACCTTTTTTTCAACAGGAAGAGATGTTTGAATTTCTTTTCATTAACTGATATTTTCGTAAATGGGAATTAATGAATTTAACTTCTGTATAAATGGAAAGTAATGAAAATAAATCTGGTTGACGCCAGTAAATTTAAACGATTCTCTAGCGCATCTATTGTTTTAATGTTTGATCTGTTGGATATGTATTTGTTAAGTTTCTATTTCCTTTTATATCATATATTTATCTTATTTATTATTTGTTATGTCACAGATAAAGTTTTTGCACCTGCGTGCTCAACTCAGAAGGTTTATGAAGAAGGGGCTAAAGATGTTGCTTTATCAGCACTTTCTGGAATCAATGGTAATTTATTTTCCGCTAATGCTCACATTAGAACTTCTCTCTCTCTCAGATTAAGGGCTGTTTTGAATCCGTTTAGCAATTTCCTTTATTCTTGCAGCCACAATTTTTGCGTATGGGCAGACTAACAGCGGTAAGACATTCACGATGAGGGGCGTAACTGAGAGTGCTATTAAGGACATCTACGAGTACATTAAGAATGTGAGTTACTAGTTAACTGTTGATACCTGCCAAACTATGTCAATTATCTTCCACTGAGTAGGAGGTAGAAAGTAAAAAAGACCATTCATAATTTGAATCCTATTAGTCGAAGGTAACTTCTCGCAATTATGTGTTTCAATTTCCGCAGACACCAGAAAGGGATTTTATCTTGAGAATCTCTGCCTTGGAAATCTATAATGAGACTGTCATAGATCTTCTGAAACGTGAATCTGGTCCTCTTCGGCTCTTGGATGATCCTGAGGTATAGTTCAAAGATAAAACCCTCAACTGAAATTTGTCGACGAATGCTTAGCTTTTCCTTGATTTGTAACAAATCCTGGGGTATATTTTTTCTGTGGATATAGAAAGGGACTATTGTGGAAAAGCTAAATGAAGAAGTAGCGAAGGATGGTCAACATCTAAGGCATTTAATTGGCATCTGTGAAGGTAATTTCGAAATCTGTCGTTGTTTGTCTTGTGAGACATATGCATGTTTCTCAAGAGCATTCAGGATATCTCATTTTTGCCGATGTTCTCTTTGTATATAATCCATGTAATAGAGTTGAAGAAAATATAGAAGTTGTGAGCATTTTACACTTAGGTTATCGGCGTAGTGCTATTGTTCATGTAAACGTTGTATCTGCAGCGCAAAGGCAAGTGGGAGAAACTGCTTTAAATGATAAAAGCTCAAGATCACATCAAATAATCAGGCTGGTAAGTTCAGTTGAGGAAATATAAGTATTCATCATCAATCTCTTAAGATGATAATGAATGCTTATTTCAGTATTTCAGATTGGTTAACTTTCCCATTTCATTTGTCTGGCTACTTCATGCGGAGATTAAGACACTATGCATATTGCTATATAGTCACTATTTTTATACGAATATTTCAGACTGTAGAGAGCAGCCTTCGTGAAAGTTCAGGTCATGTAAAGTCTTACATAGCCAGTTTGGTATGTTTTGTCTTCATAGTTTGACATGATAGTCCTGATAACAAGCTAGTCATACTGATGAGCGATTATTATACTCAGAATTTTGTGGATCTTGCTGGAAGTGAACGCATCTCACAAACAAATACATGTGGAGCAAGAATGAAGGAAGGCAGCCATATCAACAGAAGTTTGTTGACACTTGCATCAGTCATCAGGAAGCTAAGGTCCAGCAACCGTATATTTATAAAATATCCAAATACATGTGGCTACTTTGTCATTGTTCTTCTACTAAAGAGTCATGATTACAAGTAAAAAACATTGCAGCCAAGATAATAAAGCTGTAGGGAAAGAAATCCTAAAAAGCTTGTTTGTTTGTTTTTCTAAATTAAGAATATGTTTAAGAGCTCCACAGTAATTACATAATTTAAAAAAAAAAAAAAAAAAAAAAACCTCAAAGGTCACAGATTCATCTTTCGCAACCCAGTTTTTCCCCGAATCGTTTTTCATTCGATGACTAGAGATTGTTAACCGTGGAAGTTGGCTAATTTGAAATTGGCATTTATTATTACGATGAAGTGTAGTGCTACGTAATTGGGTCAATACACCGGAGTCTGATTCAGCTTTTGGAGTTTTCTTTGCTTTGCAGTGGCGGAAAACGAGGTCACATACCATATAGAGACTCAAAGTTGACACGAATTTTGCAGTCTTCATTAGGAGGGAATGCTCGAACAGCGATTATATGTACCATAAGCCCTTCCTTAAGTCATGTGGAGCAAACAAGAAATACACTAGCATTTGCTAACAGTGCAAAGGAAGTCATTAATACTGCCCGAGTGAATATGGTATAATTAAATATCTAAATATGATTTGGTTCATAGGATACAAGATTAGTATGGAATTTTTTTTACTAATGTTCTTATATTATACATAAAATATATTTTTTTCCTAAAAAATCGTTTCTAAACTGAAGCAAGTGTAATTTTGAATGGGTGTTCTCCTAGATTCTGATAGTTAGTTAGTTCTTTGCCTATCCCACAACTAATTTACTAGCAGCAAAGGGTTTTTGTTTGATAGAAGTTTATGAAATTATTGCTTGGTGGTAGGAAGAAAGACACATGTAATTGTAAATTCAAGTCACACACTTCCATAATCTATTGTCTGTTTGGAGAGTTCCCTTCAACTATTTATGTATGTAAAAAAAAAAAAACAATTTTTGTTAAGTTGAAGAGAAAAATCTCTAAACCGGCAAATATATATGCACATTTTTCGTAAAAAGCACCTTGTCTTTTATTTCTATTGGCAATTCTGAAGGTCTTATTTTCCAATGTGCTCACTAAGTGATTTTTTTTTTAATTTCAAGTAGCCACCTCATTTCATTTACATGCTTTCATACTTTCCATGAGAAATGAAAAGTATCATATTAAGATAGATGGTGATAATTTTTAACAGGTTGTTTCAAATAAGACACTTGTCAGACAATTGCAAAAGGAAATTGCCAGGCTTGAAGGGGAGTTACGTAGCCCTGATCTTTCTTCAAATTCATGTCTAAGGTCATTGCTAGTTGAAAAGGAGCTGAAAATTCAGCAGGTACAAACTTCATTCTTCGGCCTTAACTTTCATGTTAACGAATACGTGGTCAATAATTTCTATAAAGCTGTACATTCCAACGCTTAAAATATTCATATTTTTTGTGTATACAATGTGTTTAACTCTCCCATTCCATGACTGATCAAAATCACGGTAAATGGCTTCCCATTGGCTACTTTTCTCGTCGCATGAACTTGCTAAAGACTAAGTTATTATAAACACTAACAAAACTGGCTTTTCTTGAGGTTTTATGTAAAAGAGAAACTCTTTGGATGAATCGAATTGATAAAAACGAATGTGCAGATGGAGAGGGATATGGAAAACCTGAGGCGACAGAGAGACCTTGCACAATCTCAACTTGATCTGGAAAGAAGATCGAATAAAGTTCCAAAGGTATTCTAATGGTCATCTAACATTAGTGTAAACTTGATATATTTTCTGAAACAAATTATATATATCTTTCAGGGATCAAACGATTATGGGCCCTCTAGTCAAGTTGTCAGATGTCTTTCTTTTCCTGAAGAGAAAGAATCAGCTAAAGGTAAACGTACTCCAGAAAGAAGAGAGACAGTAGGCAGGCAGGCAATGCTGAAGAGTTTATTGGCTTCTCCTGATCCATCCATACTGGTCGGTGAGATTCGAAAGCTTGAGAATCGGCAGCTGCAGCTCTGTGAGGATGCAAATCGAGCACTTGAAGTTCTGCACAAGGACTTCGCAACTCACAAACTTGGGGATCAAGAAACTGCTGAAACCATGTCAAAAGTATTATCTGAAATAAAAGACTTGCTAGCTGCCAGCTATACTCCAGAAGAAATTGTGACTGCAGATAAGGCTGACCTAGTGGAAAAGATCACTCAGTTGAAAAACCAAGGAAACACCATTGCATCTTTGGAGAGGAAACTGGAGAATGTTCAAAAATCTATAGACAAGCTTGTTTCGGCTTTTAGTTCAGACGAGACTCCAGAGAACAAGACACGGCTGAGAAAGAAGAAAATTCTTCCTTTCGCCTTAAGTAACAGTCCCCACATGCAACATATAATACGTGCTCCTTGCTCGCCTCTCTCCTCTACGCGTAAAACTATGGAACATGAAATAGAGAACAGGGCACCGGAAAACAACATTGGCGTCACTATCAGTGATACTTTTTCCAAGTTACATAAAGATACTTCGCGAAAGCATGACGAAAGTTGCGACTCTATTTTATCACGGGAAGGAAGCCCAGCTACACGACAATCAAAATCAGTCAGCGTAAAGAAGATTCAAAAAATGTTCAAAAATGCTGCGGAGGAGAACATTCGGAGCTTCCGAGTTTATGTAACCGAGTTAAAAGAGCTAGTAGCAAAACTGCATTACCAGAAGCAACTTCTGGTTTGCCAGGTAAGAATTGTTGATTTTTTCACTACCCGTTTATTGTGTTATTAAACCTATTTCTTGTATTCAACTGGAACCATGTCAGCACTTAACCTGTTGCAAATAATAATTGTATGAATTTAAGTTTAATTCATTAATCTTAATATTATACTATATGCTCTGATAGTGTTACTTTCATTTCATCCCCGCACGGATTCAGGTTTTGGAGCTTGAAGCCAACAAGTCAATGAATGAAGAAAATGATACACCTGATCGATCTCCGTTACCATGGCATATACTGTTTGAACAGCAGAGAAAGCAAATTATCATGTTATGGCATTTATGCCACATTTCTCTCGTTCACCGGACACAGTTTTATCTTTTGTTAGGCGGGGATCCTTCTGATCAGATATATATGGAAGTTGAACTTAGAAGATTGACCTGGTTGGAGCAGCATCTAGCAGAGCTTGGGAATGCTAGTCCTGCACTTCTAGGTGATGAGCCTGCAAGCTCTGTTTCAGCAAGGTATGCAAGTGTCATTGACAAAAATCCCTTAAAAAGAAAGGGTTATGATGTTGTATTTTATATCACGAGTATTTAAGAAAAGATGAATAGTATAATCTTCTAGGTGCATGGCTTTTATTTTGTTTATTAACAGAGAATAGTAATAATCTTTTGGTATTGATTGATCGTAAAATGCAGCATCAGAGCCCTGAGGCAAGAAAGGGAATATCTAGCTAAGAAGGTGAACACTAAACTTACGGCGGAAGAGAGAGAAGTCCTTTATGCAAAATGGGAAGTTCCTCCGGTTGGAAAACAAAGGAGGCTGCAACTTGTGAATAAATTGTGGACCGACCCCTATAACATGCAACATGTGCAGGAAAGCGCTGAAATTGTAGCGAAGCTCATTGATTTCAGAGTATCGGATGAAAACGGCAGGGAGATGATTGAACTAAACTTTTCAAGCCCTTTTAATAAGAAATCATGGGCGGGCTGGAACTTTATATCAAATCTTCTCAATTTGTAAACACAAAATGTTGTACTTGTACTTCTTCATCTATAGTTAGGGGAAGTAGAGAACTAAGTTATAACTTTTACCCCTACTTTTTATAAGAATCTTAACTTAGTACTTTTCTAAGCCATGTTAACGTCTTGAATTCTTTCACAGTCTAACTTTCTTTGTACAAGAATTATTTTGAGAATCTTTACACGTCTAATAGTGTAAGTAAGCAATAAAAATTATATCTCGATGATAGGAGAGATTAAAGAAATTAAAACTAATAAATATATATATATATATATATATATATTTAAATAAAAGTATAAATCAAATAAATAATTTAATTTTACTTTTCATAACATGTGAGTAAATGCTCAATAAAAAAAAGAGTATAATTTATAATAGTTTTTATTCATACTAATTTCATGCAAAGAGTTTGAAAGAAAATGTTTTTTATTTCATTCTCCTCAATTCATAGATTTTAAATTATTCTTTAAGAAAATTAAAACTTAAATTATAGAAAATAAGCAACGTTTCTATAGAATTAATTGAAGCACTTAATAGAAAATTTTAACTCAATCAGAGATTCGTCTAACGATGGGGCATTCCTAATATAAAACAGACTTACGAGATTAATAACATACAAAAATATAATTGATAGGACTTTTAAAGTAATTATTATATATATATATATATATATATATATATATATATATATATATATATATATAATCAATGGAATATTTTTTTAGTTCAAATATAATAGTATAGTTTATAATATTAGTTAAAAGACGAAATAGTCAGAGATTGTATATTCCTTTTACAATAGTACCTGATATAAATTAGGAAAGTTAAATTGCAATTAAGGTTTTCTTAAATCATACTCTGTCTAGTTTTAAAAACACTCGTCCGCTCTAAATATTTCTTCAATTATTTAAAGTTGTTTACATAAATCAAGAGATCAAATAAATTTCTTGTTTCTCACAAGTTTTAGAGTTTAATTTATATTGTTTCCATTCATAATATACAAATTATTATTATTATTATTTACTTTTACGGTGTATGTGAGAATTAATTAAAAATTAGGTTGAAATTGAAAGTATAGTTGAGAATAACTTACTTTTTTTAGTCATAAAGAAAATTAATTAATGTTATTTTGAACTTAAAAATATATAAATAATTAAAAAATATCTTATTTAAAAAAAATGTTGACAGTTATTAAAATGACAAAGAAGTAGTGTATTATTTTAAAAATAAAGAAAATATAAATACTCAAAGAGAGATAAATGTAGCTTTCTTATAAATTATATTAATTTTTTATTTTTTAATTAAACCTTTGTAGTCTTCTCATCCATAGAAATTAATATTCGAATTCTCCGTAAATATGAATTTAGGTTTTGCTTTATATCACCAAATAAAATAAATTTAGTTTACATTATACGGACAGTCTGGTAGCATTACAGTGTTGGGGATATAATAATATATTATATTAATTTTTGAAAAAATAATACTGCATATAATTCTGTTATATATATATATATGCAATGTAATGTAATGTATAGATAATGTATTATTTTAGATATTTTTTTATTAATTCATTAAAATATAAAAATAATATTTAATAATTGTCTTTTTAGGTAAATTATGTTTCTAAAGAAAAAAATTCATTACCAAAATTAGTCACCACCAAGCCTGTGTTTCGGTTTTTAGAAAAAAAAACATGAAAATGTAATGATTTATTTTATTGTTTGTGTTTAGTGGTTTTTTGATTCATATTTATTTTGATAAAATTTTAGTTAAAAATATGTCAATAATTTATTATATTACTTAATTATATTATTTTTTACTCTATTAAATTAATCCAATCAATTATATCTTTTCATTCATTTTCTTATATTGTTTACTCAATTCAAACAATTTTGTTTGTGTTTTCTTTTATCGTCCTCACTTATCCAAGTAAAACACAATGGCAATTGTCAACGTTTTAAAATAAGAAATTACATTAAATTATGAATAATTATAAATCAAATTATTAAAATTACGAAAAATAAAGTTACCAATTTTGGAAACATAATCCATAAAATTACAATTAAACCATGTTTTGATTAATAGGATTAGTATTCCTCTGTTTCAGTCTCCATTGAGCCTAATAAAAGGAGAAGGGTTCTGTATTTTATAGGAAGAGAGTGTCTTGTTGAGTTTAAGAGACGAGCAAGAAGTAGGGTTTGTGTTGCACAGAGAATGAGAGAGATGGGAAGAGAAAGAGAGGCAACAAAAGTAGCTTACACAGTTGAGCAGCTTGTAGCTTTCAATCGATACAATCCCGATATTCTTCCAGATCTCGAAAACTATGTCAACGACCAGGTTACTTCCTTCTCTATATAAAATTCGCGTTTCCTTCTTTTTCCTAAATCCAAAACCTAGGTTTTCAACCGCACGTGTAAGCCGATGGCGAATAACAATTTTTCTCTCGTTAGGTTTCATCGCAAACATACAGCCTAGACGCCAATCTCTGCCTTCTTCGCCTCTATCAGGTATTGCACTGCTTTTCATCTCAATAGAAGTTGTTAATTAATTAGTGACAAGTTACCGGTAATAATTTCTTTACATATTGCTGTAGTTTGAACCGGAGAAAATGAGTTCCCAGATTGTGGCTCGCATATTGGTTAAGGTGTGCTTATTCGTTTCTGTGTTGGCTGTGAATGTTGTTTTTAAACTGATTGGAAGCATTTAGTTAAACTGTGAATGTTATCACGTGTTTTGTTTTTTTCTTTGTGAACAGGCGCTTATGGCAATGCCGGCTCCAGATTTCAGTCTCTGTCTCTTTTTAATTCCAGAACGTGTGGTATTACTCTCACAAATGATGATTATTTTCTTTCTTGTAACCTGTCTGCTTTTATTCATAAATAACCATATCTTTGAAATATTTCAGTGACTCTAGGTAATGGTCATCTGCATTTGAATTTTACTTGTTATAGCAATCCAAATTAGAGTATGCCAAGTTGTCTAAATGATAACAATACACGTGATAGGAAAGCATTAAACTGTTGGTTTTGCCAATTCCTTCACATTCAAACACTTTCTCATAGAATTGGTGGCAATTCGCCAAATTAGCCAATCACTTCCTCAATTATCCATATGATTATTAGTTCAAATTACTAATTCTTTAGTTTTATCAATTCAACAACAGAAAAGAAAGCAGTACAGTGACCCATAGTTTAGTTACAAAGAACAGGGGAAGAGGAATTCCATCATGATTAGTTGTGGAAGAAAGTAGTTTAGTTTTCATAACAAGATTTCCTTCTCTTTCAAGAGTGAGATAAGAAATATTCAAGTTACTGAATGGGAGGTCCTTCAAGTTTAAACAGTTTAGCAATCGACCTAACCATACCATTGATCAATGCATTTGCTTGTTTTTGCACCTTATGGCAATTGATTTTTTTTTTCTTTTCTGTTATTTTTTTATGAATCTTAGCAAATGGAGGAGCAGTTCAAGACTTTGATTGTTCTGTCTCATTATTTGGAGGTAAGCATCAGCTTTATTTGTTAAAGCCCTAATTAGTCATTTGAACTTAGACATTAATACATGCCTCTCCAGACAGGAAGATTTCGGCAGTTCTGGGATGAAGCAGCAAAAAGTCGTCATATAGTTGAAGCTGTGCCAGGTTATTATATATTTTTAATTTATGAAATGATAATTGGATGTAATGATAATAACTTCGAATGCTTTAACCAACACATTTCAAATATAAAACAGTATCAGGTTAATTGCCCAAAATATTAAGCATATGAAAGTAGAAAGGTGAGGTAATAGGTGAGAAATGAAAATTAAAAGTGTTTTTTTTTAAATAATTAGTGAATGAGTTAGAGATGGAGAAATTGGAACCCAATCACTTTTTTTAATTCTCTCCTCCCTATCTCTATCATACCAAACAAACCCAATTAAATCTGTCATCTTCATCCTATTTCCATTCCTTACCCTCTAACCACCCACACCATTAAGCTTGATGAGGACTTCGATTAAATAATTCTCACTTCTTAAAGGTGTTTCAGTGCTTCATTTTCCTCCATTAATTCATGCTTACATTGAAGTTCAATTTGAATTTGATTGCAGGGTTTGAGCAGGCAATCCAAGGATATGCAGTCCATGTCCTTTCCTTGACATACCAGAATATTCCTAGAACTGTCCTTGCTGAGGTATGTTTGTTGTTTTATCCATTTCAAGTATTGGCTTATTGAATATTATTTCATCTCTAGCTAATAGCTGCTAACCCAAACAACAGTGTTTTATTCCCTAATTGCCTGTTGAACTCGCGTTTAAGGTGACTCATACATTAAAAATACAATACCTAAATTAAACTATGATTCTCTACTTATTCTTTAGATTTTAAATGATAAAATATGTTTTGTTTTATGACTTATACATGTAGAGTCAGGCAGGCAGACAGTAAACTAGTTTCTCATAAGACTAAAATTTTCGAATGTAGGCTATTAACATCGAAGGTTTATCATTGGACAAATTCCTTGAGCATCAAGTGGCCAACAGTGGTTGGGTTATTGAGAAAAGCCAAGGAAGAGGTCAACTCATTGTCCTTCCTAGAAATGAATTCAATGACCCAGCTTTGAAGAAAAATGCTGCAGACAGTGTACCATTGGAGCACATTACCCGCATCTTCCCTATTCTTAGTTGATTTTTGTACTGCTGTCTGCGAATTTTCTTTCTTGAAGGATATATGCATCTATTGTAGGTTATTATTCATGTTTTACCTTACTGTCTGAAATTATTTTGTTTTGCTATCCTTTATTATTATTGAACATATTGTGTGTTCTCTTCAATGCGTGTTAAGTTTCCGCTAGATCGGAGATCTTGCACGAAAAGTAGTTTAGTAGGTTAAAGAGTAGGGTTGAGGAAATGTTCATTTGTATGGTCTGACCGTTGCAATTTTGATCTACAATCCGATATTTGTTAAAGGTAACACAACTTATTTTTCTCTCTATTCACAGAGAGTGAAGAGCGACTTCAACCAGATTTTCTTAGTTTTTAAACTAAAATTTAAGAATATTTCATAGGAAGACACTTGTAAATTAATTGTATTCTATTTAATATTTAAAACTTGTCAATTTTGTGCTTTTAAGTATTTTTTTTGGCCACTTGAAAAGTTAAATATAAGCCTATCATGAATTAGAGATATAAGAGTTTTTATGCTATTTTGTCTCTAAAATTATGATAAGAGTCCATAAAATGTATTAAAAAAATTCTTTTAAGGGTATTTTGATTATAAATATCTCTTTACTTCTAAGTGCGGATTCTATCAAACTTTTTAAGTTTGTGTTAATGTATCTATATGTGAGACCGTCTAATAATAAGATTAACCATTCTTCCATAACTATTTTTTGTCTAACCACTCAATTTGAGAGATGTGTAAGTTTTCCCCTTCATAATTTGATTAAGAAGAAAAACTTGTTTTGCTGGTTGTTAATACATCCTTACAACATTTTATATTTAATCCTTAATGTTCAAGGTATATATTAAAGAAGAAAAATGTTTAAAGCAAACATTACATATTTTACGTAACCATATATTTTGCAACCCCCTATATTATTTAATTTATATTTATATAATAAAAATTACAATATAATAATAATAACTATAATATATATCTGCTTCTGAAACCAAAAATTTGTCCAACTTCATCACATGTTGGTCATTCATATAGGTTGGATCAAATTCGCCCAATTGTTGGGTATTTTTTTGGCACTTCATCCAACATGTAGGTATTTTGTTAGCCCAATAATACGGTTGGATAGCCTCCGGATCCACCAATTTGGATGTTAAAAAAAATATATGTTTTAATCCACTAATCCAGACCTTATAAAAACAATTATATGCTTCTTGGATGCATTAATCCATAACTCAAAAAAAAAAATCTTATGATCCATCAATCTGAAATTTTTTGGTTATGGGATGCAAATTGAGATTATGAAAGTGCAAAAACAGCCTCTGTTTTTCTTTTTTGAACTGAGGCTGACCCATTTTCACTATTTTTGCGATGATATATTTGGATCTCACCTCACGATATTTAATAATCTACAAAAGTATTTTGAAATATCTTAAATTAATAGTTCCAGAAAAATTCTAGGTTAATAAATAAAATATATAATAAATGGTTTAAAATCCCAGAATAAAAAATATAAAATAGAAAAAAATATATTCATTGTATATCTAAAATCATTTCAGATTAGTGAATTCAGAAATTTTATTAAAAACTTCATGAATCCAAAAACATTTCTAATAGAAAAATGTTAGTGATGGAACCATGAAGGCATAGCCATGTGGAGAATGAAATCTATGTTTGGCCTATCATTCGACCCTCCATCACCACATGGCCTACGACACATTCCATTGGACTAATTATATTCCATAACAGTTAAACAAGTTTTTTTTTTTTTTATACATTTTTAACCTAATGTTTTGAACAATTTAAAACACATCTAACAGTAAAATTTGTGAACCACTTATTCAGCTTCTTCAATGTAGAATCCACCACCTTACAACAAGCAAAGTTACTTAAAAAGAATCAATTATCTACAATTCTAAAAGTGAAACTGCCACAAGCAGGGTAATAATATTTACAAAAGGTTCACCTACTGTAACTGCTCAAAGAAAATTGAAAATATTAAACTCCGAGAAGGAAACAACATAAAATAAAATAAAATAAAATAAAAGGAAGGAAATGACAGAAGAATTTTACAAACACTTGCTATGCACTTTCTTTTCTTTTCTACTACTATGCCTTGAGGATTGGATTGAGATTTTGACAACAGAATTAATGCTGTATGTCAATACCGAGACTGGTCTCAGGATTCTTCTTAGATTAGAACCACATACACAGAAAGCCTATCCAAATGCCTGGTTCCGTTCTTTATCCGGTTCCTTTCTCTTCTAATCAGCATCTTTAGACCAAGCAAAAAAAATGTCAATTATATATTAGTGCAATATATCTTGTGCAAAGCTCAATGGCAAAGTGTCTGTCCATAAGTCACCCATTGTACAAAAGTATCTGGAAATTCCTCTGCTGTGTTGGACTGTGAATTACCGTACGATAACTCAGATTCAGTTCGCTCTCTTCCCTGAGAATATTACATATAATTTAGTGTCTGAATTCAGAAATAAAGACCTAAGTAATTCAAGTCAAACACACTTATTAAAAGTTTGGACTGATATAAGACTCCAGCATATCCTGCCCTTGGTAGTCCAACAATAGCCTAAACTGTTTATCACTTTTTCTACCAAAACAATGAAGTTCAAATTCATGCTAATAAACTACATACACTGCATCAATAGAGGATTCAATATATTAATTACATCGTGTTCACTGGTATGGAAGTACAATGAATCTATATAGAAATGAGAAAGTTGAGAATGTGATTGTTCAAAATCCGCGTTAATTGCACACTTAAGTGTGATGATGTTTAATCTCATATATTGACTAGAGATATGGCTTAAATAGACTTAAAAGGTTAAATTTTGTGGATTTGATTTAGATCTTAAGCTCAAATTCCAAGAGTTATATTACGCTGTCTCAGAAGGGGTGTTACCTTTAGGTTGGATGGCCCCCAATCACTAGTGGAGGCAGTTGCTTCTCCTACCATTATTCCATTGATAACATTTTCGGAAGAAACTCCAGTAATTGGAGAGTTGGTGATTGATGACCTGCATTCAGTATATATTTTCTTTAAACTAAACAATAATTCTCGGGTAAAACAAATGCATAACACACCAGAAAGAAGGAGAGAAACACAGACAAATTTTGTAGACCATGAGAAAGACGAACAGGGTATAACCAAGACAATGTTATGTACCAATTAATTGCATAGCAAATTTAGTTCCTATAAAAGGGGTTACCTCTCAAATGGCTCTTCTTCACATGAATTTGCTGAAGAAGATAGCCAATCCAGATCAACAAAATTGGAGCAGCTAAAGGAATCTCCGTGATCAGAATAGTAAATATGATCGCTTTCAACGCAGCGTTCTCTTTGCATATCTCCAAACAGCTGTATCCGAGGCATTGAGGGTGTATACCTACACAAACAAAATAAATTGGTATCATACACATACAGGCTGAAATGGACAAAATGAAGCAGCAAAAATAATGCAAGCCCAGGTTAAAGAGCTCATTGAACATTTTAGATTACAAAATTTAAACACTGTAACAAGACATTTTATCACACAAATGCAGCCCAGGTTAAACAAAAAACAGGACAATCTCAAAGAATATTTTTTTCCTATCTTCTAGAGAATATTAATTATATTAAAATTCTTATACAGAAAGGCCTGCTATGCAAAGACAAAAACATTCTAAATTAAGACAACAAGACAGTAGAGAAGAGAGACTGTATAAAATGGGATACTAATTTCCTATTTCCTCTTGAATAGATTAAAACATACACTTAACTTAAGTCCAAGTTAATACAGGACACAAACCTTGAAAATGAGATGTCACTCTCAGTAGTAGATATTTCCGGTGATGACTCACAAAGACCCTTGCCGCCTTCTTCTAATCGGTCTGGTAAGCATTGGCTTGGGAATTTCACGTGCCTGGCATTTGGAGCTGACATTGGCGTAGAACTTTCATTAAGAATGTTCCCATCTGAGAATGATCTTTTGATAAATGACCTAAAAAAACCATTTCACAGTTACCACATTAGCTGCATAGACGGACATTTTCAGTGCACATGCTTCAAGTTATGACCATTTTAGCAGCAAGCCTAAATGATCATGAAATATCAAGAAACTCAATACTAGGGCAGACCTAAAGTGCGTCCTAGTTCAGAGAAGCATAAAAAAAGGTAAATATGATTTCATCAATCTTCTGTGCAAATTATTACGTTTGGAAGATCAATAATTTCATTACTCTCTAGCCTCGCCACTTTCCTGCAACTTATCTCCAACCCCTGTAGTCCTCTTCCTCTCAAGTTCAAAATTTTGAACCAGTGTATAATAATTTATTTTTAGTTAAGAGATTATGTTGCAAGGGAATTACTGTAATAACTTTATCTGTTTGGGGTAGCCTCTTTGGATTTGGAGGAGTTTTCAAATGGTACAGTTTGAAGATATTTAAGTGTTGCTACTCACAAGCAGAATCTGTGTGAAAATCAATATCGTAATCTATCTATTCCGTTATTTTAGTTTATTAGGTTTATCATCTAAAAGTCAATTTGAATATTTTAGTTCCTTGTTTTAGTAATTCTGTTTTTAAATTATGATTGTTTAGGATTTGACTGGTCAATTTTCAGTGTGGCCAGCACCTATATATTATTGCATTGTTCTTCAATTATAAAAAATATCAGAGTCACCATATGATAATCAGTTTTTCTACAGACGGAAATAGTGATATTGGGAGTTTACTGTGTGCGCACGTGCCGTCTATGCAATCCCCTGGCCTATTTGGTAGGAGACATATGCCTACAATTTGAAGTGTCTCCAAACCATTACAGGACAACAGGGTTCAATTATGATTAAATGTTCTGTAGCAACCTTACTTATTTTGCCTTTCACTCTTGTTATTCAAGTTACTTCTGATGATTAGGATTAAAGGTATTCTGAGGTTAGGATTGGTTACAAGTTAGGGTTTCCAGAAAGGGATATATCAGGTTGTAACGGGGTAGGGGATAACTCGGATTTTCTGAATAACATATAATTATCTTTCATATCCCTTGGAAGTTATCCAAAAGATCACCTCTCTATTAAAGTTATGTACCACATCTCCTCACCCTGTCCTTTCTCCCAATATTTTTTTTCTTTTCACTTTTTTGGTGCTTCACTCCCAATATCTCTTGAATCCAACAATTTAAACCTAGTCCATTTTAACCTACATCAACTTTTATTCTAGATTGTTTTATCAAAGTGTCCACGAGAGTGTCTATTTCATAGAGGAATACCAAATTTATGGAAGTGGAAGGTGGACTATGGACGTTCCTGACAGAGAAAACCCAATGCAAGATCTTCACAGAAGGCCCAATCCATAGAAGGTTAGGAAACAAGTGGTATTACATCACATAAATTACATTTAAATATACCTTGCATCATCATCTCCACGTCTTGCTGTATCATAGAGCTGATCTGAATCCAACTCCCATAGAGCAGGCCTACCCCGTTGTGGTTGAAAATGCCCCAGAAATCTGCCACCAGTTAATAGAATGATCAACTTATGATTAGAAGAAGAGAATAAATTAAAATTGCAAAGGCATCTTTACAAAACACATGATATATCACAAAAGTGCAAGCTGCCAGAAAAAATATCACAAAAGCTGTTCCTAATCTGACTCTGTTGCTCTTCTTCCAATTTAAAATAACACTCTTATCCAAAACATAAACGCCCTATTAAATTAAGAGATAGAGACAGAATAGGAAAAAACAAACAAACCAAATAGCAGACATGCTATGACCAACGATTGGAAATAATATAACTTCAAGGCGTATAGAAAAATAAGAAAATGCATGACTGTAGCACATACACATTGATTGCATCCTGTTTCATAGCATCCATGTATGCATTGCTGTAATAGCGTTGAAGAGTCCTAAAAAACTCTTGAGACTGTGTTGCAGCTCTCCACTGACCCCTCCTCTCAGAGAAAATCTACAAAGAAACACAAGTTATAGAAAAAGTCCATCTGAAAAGTTTAAACAAATGTTACACCAATGTATAGTGAAGATATTAACGTAAAGAAAACCTTATAGCACTGCTACTCACCAAATTTAACAGCAAAGTCGATAGAATACTACAGGCAAGAAATGAATAATCATCTAAACGTTGACTAGCCCATCAGTGGACACATTCTGAATAAAGCAAAATCAACTCTAATTTCCTATATTATATTTTAGATAATTACTGATAATCATAAAGCCATATTTGTCAATGCTCTCCATAAATGACGCATGGAATCAATACAGGATCAGTCCATTCTCATAGTACCAACAAGAAGATAGCACAGCTACTTATCAAAAATAAATAAAATGGTAACAGGTAGGGGTGTAAACAAGTCAAACCGAGTTGAACTCTTGATGCTTGACTAAAAATTGACTTATCTATTCAATCGAGCTTAATTAAAAGCTTGTGCTTGACTCTTTAAAAGGATATTAAGCTTAGCTTGGCTTGTTTAGCTCATTTACAACTTGATTAATGTTGCTTTTACGAAAAAAAAAAATCAATTATTTTTCAACTTTATCAATATAGCATCTAAATATTTTTTTTAATACTAATATACTAACAAAAAATAAGCATAAACTTTATTGTCAAAAAAATTATTCATATATTGAAAAAGAAACTAGTGTTTTGTACAAAATGTAACTCCATATTAGCTAATAAAATCTGAACTTTGAAACAAGTGTACTAACATCTCAATTAAACATCTACAATACCTTCCATTCCATATATATATATATATATATATATATATATATATATATATATATATATATATATATATATATAAACAAGCTACTCATGAGTCTTTAATATCAAGCTTTGAAAGTTTGGGCTCAACTCATAATCAAACCTACTCAAAAGTTTAAGTTTGTTCATTTAACTTAACAAGCAAATAATTAACAAATCGAACCCAAATAATTGAGGAATAGTTTGGCTCATTACACCCTTAATAACAACGCTACTGTATGCCATCCCACTAAAACAACATAATTAGAAAGTTATGAACTGTAGTTTAACCCTTAAACAATTCTCTAACCCCCCCCCCACCCACCCACACAGACAAAAAAAAAAAAGTTTAATGATTATCTTAGCATCATAAAGCTTAAACCTAACGATGATATTCATTATAAACAAATCCTATTCAACTAGGCAATTAAGAAAAATAGAGCAAAAATATCAGTTCCCAAGCTGCGTTAGAATATGCAAACTGAAGCAATTATGACAAGCTGCAGAGTGCAATCACCTTATTGTGCGCAGCAGAACCGCCATACTGATGAGCAAGAGTATCACCCATCCGCTCATAAAAACCCATTAAATCGTCAGCTACAGGATCATCAAGATCAATTTTTGGGTGGTCAATAACTCCCACAGCATGGAGCTGGTGGCCAAGAGCAGCCAACCCGTATGCATATTGTGCAACATTTGTGCGATCCAAACAGTCTATGCAGTTGGTCCTCAGCACCCCCCTCTGCAACATGGGAGGTTTGGTAAAATGATTTTCATTGACATCATTGTTTCCTTCACTTGGTTTTCTTTCTAAATTAATAGCATCCTCATTGTCTTCATTGTCGAGTCTAGCAGGCGAATAGGTTGCCTTAACATTGCTGCATGCAAAACTTAACAATAAGTAAACAAAAAAGGCCTGTGGAAAAACTTTAGGTATTTCCTCTGTCCACCAAGCATTAACTACTTTTATAGGCTTGGGTTATTCTTTGCCAATGTTTATATCATTGTTCTAATCTAAAGATATCTTGAAACTGATAATTGAAAATTTGAAACAAATGAAAACTTACTCTGTAGTTGACCAATTTAGATATTCTTCTGGTCTCAATGTCGGTGTTGCTTGGCAATAGAAAAAACCTGTTAATGTCAATGCATATGCAGCCACTTTGCCAAGAAGCTGCAAGACATTTGTAGCTTTGCTGGAAGTGAAATATAAGGTAGATCAGAATAATAAGACAACACATTGTAATTTGCCAAAAAGGATGAAAATATATAATTAAAATAACCAACCTCTGAAAATGTTTGTGCAGATCCCAATGAAGGAACCTAAGCCTGTTCTCCTCAGATAAATCTTTATTAATGAAATCTATGGCATTAGCAAACTCTGCCCGAAGTAAGGACTCACGAGGCTTCTTTTCATGGGTCTGTTTGTTTATATAGAAATATCAACTTATCACCTAGGAGCCTTTTGCAAAATTATACATTTGAAATTACAAGGTTTAGGTAAGGAGAAGAAAAGTAGGGAATACAGACTAAAGATAATATGATATTGAATTGCTAAGTGTATCATGATGTCATACTAAATACCAACGTAATATTCCTATGTATACTAATATTAGACTCCTAATCGTAACTAAATAATGAAACAACAACAAAGTCTATTCTTAGTACACGAGGTAGCTAAAATAAGGGAACAAACAACTTTGAAAAATAACATTTTTCATTCTAACCCATTTTGCAACATTCTCTTCCTCTAAATGTAATGCAGATATTCTAACAAATCAACATAAGACAGTACAGTCCCTCAGCAGAAATTCCAAATTATCATTATTATATCACCTTTATTTATTTTAATAAAAAATATAAATATAAAACTAGCCAAGACATAACCAATTTACAGAATCAATCTGTGCCAACACAACCAAGATACAACAAAATTGAATGTTCAGGGATTAAGATGATGACATGTAATAAATGAGGGGGAGGAGGGAATGAATTCATTTCCTTGCAAAAAATAAGAAAAAGAAGATTACCTTTATCAAATTCAAAATAATTATGGGATTCCCGTATCTTTTGACAAGGTTTTCAAAGTGAAGTCTAGTGGCTTGATAATTCTGATCCTTCTTTGACACTGGAGAAAATCGTGACTAAATAAGCAAACATATTATATCCGCATCAAAGAGAAAAAAAGAGAAAAATAAGTCTGCTAGTGTCACAACAATTGTGAAATGGAAGGATAACATACATATAATATCTGGTTTAATATTTAGTTTTGAAGTTTCCTGTGACCAGAAAAGGGGGATTGAACCACGGTTCTGGATGATAGAGCTTATTTGGATGGGAAGACCTTCTGGAGCATCCTCAAAGACTATTTGTTCTGTTTCAACATCATTTGCTACTCTGCCTTTCTCATTAACACCTCGCCTCAAATACCTAAACATAATGAAATAAATGAAGCCATGAATTGTACACATATTGCAAATACATAACCATCCTTCCTACCATATCATCTATTTTTCAAAATTCAAGATTTTACTGCATGCACTCTGCTGCTTTTTAATATATATATATTTCCTTACCATGCCAGAAAATGACCTTTCAAGTTTTCATCATGGTCAAATTTGTGATGCTAACAAAAATTTTATATACAAAAAAGATTATTTTAGTTTACCACCTCACTTTTCTTTTAAATGAAGGTAAATCACGATTGGGCTAGGCCTGTTGGACTTGAGGGAGGAGTATTAAGAACAAGTCTTACAGTGATTGGTAACAAAAAAATTTGTGAAATCAAAGCAAGAGGTGCCAAATTCAAATTGCTTTACGAAATTTCCATTGTCACTCAAGCAAACACCTACAGGAAGACCAACCCACTCTCCCACGTTGCAATACTTGGACAGAGGCACCTTAATCATTTCAACATCTTTTAATACCCAAATGAAAAATTGAGATACATACCACCATAAGAGCATGAAAGATAGATTGTTCCAAACAACATCCCCAATACAACATTCATTTAATATTCAAACTGCAAAGACAGTGACAATTTAAAACAGCTAAAAACTAATAAAAAAAATGACCAGCATATAAATGTATACAGATGAAATCCTCAGCACAAGAAAAATATAATCATCAGAGGAGGCAATTGAAGACTGACTAGGTAAGTTTGCTCACAGTCAAATTATAGTACCAGATACCAATTGAGAGATTCACGGCACATAATCACATGGAAAATGATTCAATGAATTTAATGTATTTGGAAATGAGATATTAAATTTACAAACCTAGTGCCAGCATAATGACGTGATCGTCTTGCTATTAGCGTAAGTATGAACTCCCGTCCAGATATCATAAGTGTTTCCTAATAGATGTAAAATATCCAAGATCAGGATGACAAACTAGCTTGCATTAAGAAGGAACTAGATACTTAACAAGATTAATCACTCTATTAATACAGTATCTAATGGAACTTTGAGAGTAACTTATCTTCACCTGTTTAAAAAAGCCATAAACTAGTGCAACTGTCCAAATAGTATTCTGGAGGTGATTCCTAATTCCCCGAGTCAAGAACTCATTCCAAACAAACATGGTTTCGTAAAGAACATGGCCTGTCTCATTATGACACATATTGCTTTGAAGACTACGCATAATGTGATATGAGTAGCTGAAAAAGAAGTCCTTTGTAAGGTCAACCATGCATAGGAGCCTCTTGTACCTAAAAAATCAATGAAAAAATACATTTTATATAAAACCATATAAATTATGTAGAACAACAAAATTTTGACATGATGCCATAAAACTGTATTCAAATTCAAAGATGGAACAAATAATAGGAACCAAAGCATTTCTAAATTACAAAAAATATCATAAACAAAGTCCTCATCAAAACTAGGTTCTCCTCAAAATATCAGTGTAATTCAAGAACGAGCAACATTTATATTTGGGTCAGACAGAAGGGATGTAATCATGTCATTTCAACAATAAATTTCCCACTAACTTCTACATTAAATTTAAATGTTTATAAACAAAGGAGAATTGAAATAATTTAAAAATTGGATGAAGGGTATAAATAAAGTAATTTAAAACAAAACCACATTTTTTTCTTGTTTTGCATAATTAAAGGGAGCAGTGGGAAAATACCAGCATTTGAAATAAAAAAGAATCAAATAAATATTCATTTGAACATATAACATGAAATAGAAGCTTAGAATCACTTGTGTTGAAAAAATTCAGGTTGTCCATGATGAGGACATGTGACGGCATATGTATGACCAGGGATTGCACCATTTAGGCCAGAAATATAATATGCAAGATTGTGACCTGTTTTCATTTTTATCATTGACATTAGACCAAACCGAAGAATTTGGCAATGGAATCATCTCGCTCTTTGAGACAGCATATACTGTATGACCACAGATTACACCAATTTGCCTTCTTTTTGTGATAAGCACCATGTAGTAAGGCCCCAGAAATTTGATGAACCCTAAAACCAGAATGGTATATGTATATGAAGATAATAATTGGTCAGAAGGAAGTTAGACAAAGCATTAGGATTTACATACCTACAATTCCATAACAAGTTGTAACAAATTTAAGTCCACCTGTGGACTTGTTACCCTCATGTATCCGTCTCAAAAGATCAGAACATTCACTTTCAGTATATGTGGTGGAATCTTCTCGCAAGTTTAGTTCAGAAGGATCTAGACGGTCAATCTTTAGTACTCTCCAGTACGTCCTGCTCTTGTCTCTTCCTATCATGTAAAAGTTCTGTGGTATAAAGGTAAATTCAGAAGTTAGAAATTTTAAATATAAGAAAGGGCCAGCAACTCATCCAATTTTATAACTCAAATTTCTCAAATGGGATCTCCCAAGCTTGACACATTCCCAAGCACTCTAAAATTTAAAGATAAATAACATATCCCGCCTTAAAGGTAAAAATGAAGCATCCACATAGATGCTCAAATGCACATGCATATATTCCATTCCCATCCATTTCACAGAGGTAAAATCAGTATATAAGAATATTAAAGTAGGAAGAGAATTCAAACTGCACCAAAACATGGAACGAGACAAAACGTAAAGATGTTCTTTCTGCCTGGCCAAACTAATTTTTATATGACAAAACAACTAATGAAAGGAAGTTCCAAACACATATAAATTGAAGTCTATCATCAAGCAAGAATCAAACACATTGGATGACTGGAGACAATGATGCATAACTAGGCTAAGTGTTATATATAAGCATACACACACAACACTATAAGAATATGAACAATAAACAAGTGCATAGATAATGCTTTTGATCTATAGTGAAGATTAAAATTATCCACAAAGGCAGAATATTTTCTAATTACACAAAGCAAAACAAGCATATCACGTGGCAAAATCAAAGAGATCCCCAAGTAGAAGTCAAACCAAAAGAAACAGTTACAAAATAGAGGAAAGAGGAATAGGTGGGGATTACCGATCGAGTTTCATATAGCCTAAATTTCTGTATACAGACATTGGAAGGAGGAGGAGGGGGAGGGGTTTGGTCAGATGCAGAAGCAGAGTGACAAGGTTCATTTTCTGACGATGCCATGGTTTTCTCTGTAACACTCAGATCCCCCGAGCCTCAGGCTCAGGGAAACCACCAAATGGCATGCAAAGAGTCACACAAATCACCAAAATTCAGAATCAGCACAATGCAAAAGGCCCACAACCCAAAAATCTAAACTCATATCCTGAACTCTAGGCTGCTTCAGATACAGCATTATTTCCTCAAACTAATTCCAAATTATCGATCCCTCCCCATCCTTTTGGCTCCACCCACAACCACCATCACTACCTTGACCTCTTTCTCTCCCCCTCTGCTATAAATCAACAACGCCCCACTATTCCTCACTCCACGTTCCACATATACAGATCCAAAATCGCCACCCTACAAACAAAAATTGAAACTTTCTTGATCGAATCACGTTATAGTGCACTCACGTAAGAGGAATCACAGCATGTGGGTATTTGAAAATGGAATATTTTCACGATAAACGATGAGAAGATCGAGCAGATAAAAGTGGACGAAAAATGAAGAGGAGAAAGAAGATTTGGGAGGTTCGAGAACAAAAAGGTTGGAACCACGGGTGCAGGAACAAGAGCTGCTAATTATTGATTCAATTTATCTTTTTTATAAAAAAATGTATATACAGTTTTAACTTCAATTTTTATAAAAAAATTCTATTGATTTCTCTCGCAATGAAAGGAAGAGGGTGAACAAGAAAGCTTTGATCCAGATAACAAATCAAAACCACAACGTCAAATTTAAATAAATAAAAAATCAGATTTGATGTGTGAATTCTCCGTCCACGCATTGAAAATTCGAGACGCGTATATCTGGTATTACTATGTGTAAAATTATTACTCTTGATAATTATTGATATGAAAGAAACATGTGTATTATTGTATATTGCAAAAGTAAAATCATTGATTTTTCTCTTCTTTTAAATAAAAATGATTTTATTATTATTATTCAACAACCGACGTAAATATGAAACGTGGCATAAAAAATTAGTTGGTGATGGATAGAAGGTGCTCCTGGAGATGGAAGATAGAATGAATTTAGAAGTATAATGATTGTGTAGGACGGCAATACAATAATGCTTCTCTTATTATCTACTCTCTTTTTCAGTTTTTCAATTATTAAATTATACAGAATATTTTTCTAACATTGAATATACTATTTTTAACCCTAATAATCAAAATCATTTCACTTCTGTTAATTATTTATTTTGATACAATTTTATTCTTCATTTGATTGTTATGATAATTGTTTATTTCACTGTCAATAAGGGTGATTACGACTTATTTTAATTATCATTTTATAATAAAATGTTCAAATTAAATATTAAAATAAAAATTAATTTAGTTGGTTTTATTTTAATTTAATATAAAAAAATACATTCAATTTAAATCTATTTTTATGATTTTTATTATATAATTAGTCAATCAAATAATTAAAATATTTTATAAATTAAATAAAGCCACATCAAATTATTTATAATTCGTATATAAAAATAATATAAATATGTGATATAAAATTATTAAAATAAGAAAACATAAAATGTAGCCTATACAATTTTTTTTTATGGTTAGTCAAGTTTTGATAATACTCAATTATTGATTTCAAAGTCGTGCAGAATCATATAATTGTGTCATATAAATGTGAAATGTTGAGTTTTATTCTATTATCGATCAAAGTGGCTGGATCCACCTGAATATAATCAAATCATTAAGAAAAAAATGTTAAAGACATATATAATATTTAAAAAGGTAAGTCAAAATGCTTAATAAAGTAAAGATAATTGTTTTACCTGTTTAAACAATGAAAAAGTAAGGGATTGAATTAACTTGTTGATCACACTATAATTGTGGCGGATTAAGGTTGAAATTTTCTAACTAGTTTTTATTTAATAAAAGTGGGGACATTATTAACGATAAAAGTGATATAGGACACGTTCTAGTCATAAAATATATATGATGATTAATATTACATATATTAATATAAAAATTATATAAAAACAAGAATATGAATAATGTAAAAATCAGTAGTTTGGATATTTAAGGTTACTCTCACAATGTATTATAATAGTTTATTAGTTTATGTTAAAATTCTCTCATTAAATAATTGATGATTATAATGTTTTTAAATAATTTTTAATTAGTGAAGGAATTTGAATTGGGATATTTTAAACTTTTTTTGTATCATGGTGAGTTGTGATTAATATATTAATTATTGGAAATGTCACACTACACTTTTTTATTTCACTTTTAAATTATATTATTTATATTATATCATTTGTATATAATTTATTGGTTTTTATGTTATTTTAATGATAATTTATTGTAAGTATTATTTGGATAGTTCAGGTTATTTGTGGTTGATAATTATTTTCTTTAATCATATAGCAGAAATGATGTGATTCCAATTTAACTCCAATCAATTAAATAATTAATGTGATACTTATTTTATAATTTTTATCCATAAATTATATTTACATTTTTACTAATTTGATATATTTTGTAATATTTTTTTATTTATAACGCTGAAATTTGAAACCGTATTTAAGAAATTTTGATTTAGTATCATATTATTTAAAGATTTAATTTAATATACTGATATTATAATTTAATTATAAACTAATATATATAAATAATGTTATTAACTTTTATTAATAAATCCAATACAAAATAGGAAAGTAATTTACACAGGTAAGTATAGTTTTTTTGTTCAGAGTTAAATAATGTTTAATTTTCTTCTCTAATTTTTTCTGTTCTTTTTGTCATCTGAATTTGTGTGTGAATATGGATGGTATTAGACTCTTCTACGTCAAACATTACTTTTATTTATCTTACTGTTTATATGATTGTCATACTTTATTTTTAGTTCTAAATCCTAATTTTTATATATTAATTTTTTTTACTAACTATGAATTTATATATATATATATATATATATATATATATATATATATATATTAAATCCATACACCTAAAAATATGCTAAATTTAAATTTAAATTATTTAAATAGTATATTATTCAAGCTTATTAAGCATTTACAAGTGTGAGCACAAGCTTGATGGTTATTTGATTCATATCTTTTGGGTAATATTCAATGATTGGTTTCATTGAGGTTGAGAAATATTTACAAGATAGTTAGGTCATATATAATTTGTTTAGTAAAAATGTTGGATGTTGAGTATTATTCAATTGTCAAATTCGTCTGAATATAATAAAAACATTAACAATATATATATATATATATATATATATATATATATATATATATCATTAAAAAAAACTAAAAAAAATTAAAGATTGAATTAACAAAATTGAATTATATTTATGTTTGACTAAGTGAGAGATTAAGAACAAAATAATAAGATCTAAATTTTTAATTTAATCTCGCAAAATCTAAAAAAATATAAAATTATTTATCGAAAATGACAATGATTATAATTATTAAAAAACTTGATAAACACATAATATATTAGATTTTATTATAGTAGATAATAATTACTCCGTGCTCCTGATAGAATAATAATACGATAACTTATAATGGTTGCATAAGTTATTTGTAAGACGAATAAGTGTAAAATCTTATTTTTATTATTTATATTCATATATTTATTTTCAGTAAAATATAATAATTCATTAAAAAATATTGTTTTATAAATAATTTGTATAAATTTTAAAAATATAATTATTAAAATATCAGTCCATAATTTTTATTTAACTCAATATTCACTATTATAGAAAGGACTTTCTACGATACCAATTGATGTCGATTTTATGAAGATCTGAAGTTGTATAAAATGTGGTGACAAATTTTTAAATATCAGTTAATATTTAATGTCGATTATACCAAATCGACGTAGAAATCAATATATAACGTCGGTTAAATATTTAAATTTAACATTGGTTATACATAATCGACGTTGAAATCCCAAAATCAATGTTAGTTTTATGATTTAATTGACGTCGAAAGCATTATCCACGTCAGTTTTTGAACAACCAACATGGAATGTCCTAATATTTTATACCCCTAGGTATCAAAAGCGCGCAATTCTTCTTCTTCTTCCTTCTCTGCTACCCCACAGTCATCGCGCGTCGTATCTGCCCACCTTTCAATGCCCCGTTGTGTTGCCGACGTTGCCGTTGTTGTGCCTAACGTGGTTACGCCACCCCTCGCCACGCTCCTCTGCTCGTGTGTGTGGTACCCTTCGTCGCCCTAAGGAAACCCCTTCTCATCAGGTTAGATTAAGTGTTATTCTCCGTTAAATTCATTTTTGTTTACTGTTTATATGTGTGTTCCTATGAGTTAATATTTTCATGTCTTCCACAATTTGGCATTTGTCTCACAATAACACCACTATTTGTTTAAGATTGTCGTTGAAGGGGGAATTTCATGCATTTAACATAAATATGGATGATTTAGAGCATTTCCTGCATATGAACAGTGGAAAGATTATGGATGATTTTATATGGCTTGATATGATCTGGGTTCCTTTAGGCTTTGAAAGTTTGTTTTCGGTTCCAAAGTGGTATATACTCTTTCATGTAAATGTACAAGTTTGACTGTGACTGTTGTTTGAGTTATTTTCCCATTCTCTACATGGGAAATTGGATTATCATTATGAGCACTTGTTTACATAATTTCATAGAACTATGTTGATGGAACCATGAATCTTTTGATTTGGGCATGTCAACACATTTACCCCTTGTTCAGACACATGAATTGAGGTAAAATAATGTCGATAATAATGATAATTCAGTGAATGGTGGTACTAAATTCTATAGTTTCATGATATTTGGACATTAGTTGAGGTGCATAGAATTTTATAAGACTTTGCTAAATAATAGTTACTCAACAGAAACAAAGTAAATCAACATTTGAATATATTTAATTGAAAAAAAATATTAAAGAAAGGTTACACTTTAATTCATATGCTAAAGTCAAGTTTTTAGATGATTTAGCATTAGTTTTAATAATTTAGTGAAAATTGTAACCAATGTCATTATTTATCCATAATATTGTGAATAATAAG